CCCCCCCCCGTTTTTGATCCCATTCCCCACTCCACCCCCACAACATGTCTCTGGTATATGGTTGTTAAATTGTGATTTTGATTTTAAAAAGAACCAGGAACTTCCATCATAAGGCAAAAGACAGACTTCTATCTCTATAAAAATTCTATCTTCTGGGCCCTCCCTGGTGGCGCAGCGGGTTAAAGCACAGCACTGAGAAGCTAAAGCCATTTCAGCATTAGTTCCATCCCTGCCTGCCCCAGAGGTGATCCACATGGCGTGACAGAGGTCTCCTGGCCCGCCCACTGCTCCCCTCAGCAGTGTACTTCGTCAATCTGCCTGTTCTGCTCCCCATTCTGTCTATGGTGAAGCCTCTCGCCGCCCCTGAGCCTCTGGCCTGTTCCCCAGTTCTGTATGCACAAATAAATAATCTTAAAAAAAAAAAACAAAAACCTATCTTCTATAAAGCTCCCAAAACACACTTGCAAAAAGAAAAAAAATCTAAGAATATTAGATTTTATATATTTTAAAGTTTATATGCACTCATCTGATATCTCTTAAAAGTGAAGTGCCTGCAAAGAAGAATCTGCTCTGAGATCAGAAGTAAAACAGAAACAGGAATTGAGCATATGTTTTAAGTTACTAGTACTGGGAATTTTAATTAAGCACTAATAGTCTAGGACTTTTGTTTTAACTGCCTGCTCTACTCAGAGGAACAGGTATATAATATCTTAACCCTTTGTAGGATGTAGAAATCCCTTGCTTAAAGCAAATACTCAAGAAAGGCTTCAACCATAGAGAAAGAGTGAACCAGGAAAAAAATGTCTGTCCTGCAAATGCAGAGAGAGGGCCTCCCTGGCGGCCTGTGGGTTAAGTCTCAGCACTAACACCATTATTGCATGATTTCAATCCCAGGCCAGAGAGCTACCTACATATGGTGTGACAGACCTCTCTTGTCTTGCTCACTGCTTAGCAGTGTATTTTAGTAAACCCACTAGTTCTTCTACGCACTCTGTCTCTGGTGAATCCTCTCAACCCCTGTACCTATGGCTGACACCCCAGTTCTGTGCAAAAATAAATCAATCCAAATAGAATAAAAAATAAACAAAGGTAGTGAAAAAAAAAAAACAACTATCAGCCAACTTAACTTATGAAAAAAGATGCAAGTTAAAGTCCTAAAAAGTGTATTAACAAATAGAATATGGTATTAGAAAATAGTTTAAAAAGTTAAGTCTATCCTACAAATGCAAAGGACACTTACTATTAGAAATTCTAGTAATCCAAATTCATCCCAATAGTTTATAAAAGTAAAATCTTGAAATGCATAAAAAGCATTCAACAAAATCCAATATTTACTTATGAAAATATATTTCTTCAACTTAAATTCTGTTTAAGATTAGAAGAGAATTTCTCAATCAGATAAAAGGTATCTATTTAGTCTAGAAATGGGATGTACACTACAACATGGCATTGTGGGCAGGTAAGAGGGTTAAAGGGAAACCACAGGTAATGAACATAAAAGAAGACTCACAGATATTGATAATGTTCATTTAAGTTTGATGGTGGATTTGTGAATGCTCATCTTAATGTCAGGTTTCATATTTACTAATCTTATTCAGCATTATTACTTCATATATTAAAAACTCTCAAAGGATATATAAGCTAAATGGATTTCTTAAAACATCTTTTTTTCTAAAAGTGTTACAGAATACCCAATAGGAGACAAAAAAAGATAGTTATATAAAGAAAAAATTCTGCTCCTAAAGAATCGTATGTCTAGTTTCAATATGTAAACATAGAAACACTGAAATTCAAAACTACATCAAGTAAAATGAGAGGCTATACAGTGCCAGAAAAGTACTCTTGATTAGAAATTATTAGATGTTGAGTTCTAATTATGATGTTTTTACTGTCTGATTTTATGTACCTTAAGAAGTATTTATTTTCTTTATATGGTGACGATTTGCTTTTAAGACTTGAAAACTAAAAGGACTGAAAATACTAAATATCAATTTCTAAGAGATAAAAATTATAAAACCTTGAAATGAAAATCTGATAGGCTATTCCTTTCACTCTGGGTACTTATTGAAATTGCTTCAGAAATTCCCAAAAGCTTTTCTCTATTATAAGCAATTTCTTCTGTCGTATCAGATTGGTCTTCCGAAACTTCAGTTCATTTATGCCACAATGATATAGGTGTCCCATGTATTTTGATGCTCATCTCACTTTGTTCTCTTCCTTGCTAATTTCTTTCCACCTGTTAGGGACCAGCTCAGGTTCCCTTCAATATCACGTGGTTATTTCCACGACATATTTGGTTCTTTATGCACAAAGCCAGATCCTGTGTTGAGGACAAGAAGGGCCTAGCAGTGTGCAGAACACAAAATGATCACTTGTCAGTTGTTACTGGATCAATTCTGAATTTCTCACCTTGACATTCATGACCCTCCATCATCAGGTTTACCTTACCTATCCAGATGGCCTTTCCTTTGACGATCGTTAATGCTTGTTTCCCTTCCTGCTTTAATCTTTACATCTTAGTCTCTCAAAGATAACATCAGGTTGTACAGAGAGCACGTAGGAAACTGACTATATAAAACTGTCATTTTTGTAGATCAGAAACTGTCAAATAGTAGCAGATTCATATAGTTTAGTTTAATGCTATGGGGACCTAGAGTCACATCTCAGTTCTGCTCTGCTATTTATAGCTATGTGAACTTGAATAAATAAATCGGCCACTCTGAGGCTTATGCCCCTCATTTATCAAGTGTGGATGTAAAGTAGTAGTAGTGAAGAAGTCAGGCTTGGGCACAATACAATGTGGGGTTGAGCCTTTTATTTAGTGCCATTTATTCAGTGAAGTTTTAGGTTTGTATTTAATCACTACATCTGGTAGTAAAATGAGCACAGTATTACCTGCTTCATCAGGTTGTAAAAGTCAAATGAAATAATGTACATGAAGTGGTATGATATACTAAAAATGTTCACTAAATGACAGATAATTATGTTGTTGTAAATATAAGTGGCAAATAGAGTAAACTTGTAGAATCCAAACCCCTGTTGTTAAAAATCATATTTCACTTTAATAAAACATATTCAGTGACTAAATCCTACCATAAAGATTATTTTTTCTCATTTGAATTTCAACTATATTATATTCTGTTTCTACATAAACTTTAAATTGAACCTGAAATGCTTTATATTATTCTCAAATTTTGTGATTCCTCAAAAGCAGTGTATCTCCTCACCCACTTTTATACTATACTCCACAGGACTTAGGAAATTGCTGAATCTACAACAACTACATAATAAATACTTGTTGAATTAAATCACAACACAAGCAGCTGGCACTCAGATAAAAGACTGGTGCCTATGTTACCACTTATATAAAAATATCAAAGAGAGCCAGTAATGAAATATACAACTCTCACCTTTTAGAATGCTGTTAGCATTGATAAAGCAAGTACAGATACTATGACATTATTCCCAAGTCCTTTAACCTTCCTTGATTGAAGTCTTTCTGACTTATGTGTACAATGATTTGACCAAAGCTGTAATTTCTACTGTCAATGAGGAATAATTTTTCTTTAAAGTGTTGATAAAGGAGAGCTTTAGTCAACTTAATTTTAATAATCTGACTTTAACATTTTAAAAGAAGAAAAATAAATGTATGTGATATGTGAATGACTATCAGTCAGAAGAAATTAGAGCACAAGTAAACAACAGCTTTATGGATATGGAACATAAGAAAAGATTTTGGGTATATTTCAAAAATATACCACTGAACATCTCTCATAGTAAAATAAGTTATTTAGACCTAGTAAGTATTATAGTATGGATTAAGTTTATTTTTTTCTAGTAGAATTCTTTCCTACTTATTACTTCTTTTCAGCTTCTACTTTCCAAGAAAATCTTAGAAAGTACCTAATGTCCATACTCACTTGTTCTACTGAAGGTTTTCAATTACTACAAAACCAGGAAATAAGGCTAAACAAAACTAGGTTTCTTTAAAGCTGTAAGAAAGGTTGAGTTACATTCATATCTGTAGGTCTTTATATTTTAAGGAATGGTTATTTCAGTGAATAATATACAAGGTTACATGTTTGTATTAAAAAAAATAAAGAAAAATTAAAAAATAAGTCACAACTGTATTTCTTTGAATACTTAAGACTACAAGGCATAAAGAGCTAGTAATATGTGACAATGAAAAAAATAAGCCAAACTTGTTTGTGGATTAAGTTTACATTGCCATATGCAACCTGCAATGCAAGTTTTATTTTCTAATAGCTATTCAAAAACAAAACAACAACAACAACACTGGTAAATCCCTGATGGTCATTCTAACTTTTAGATACAATTACCTTCCTTTTATTCTCATATACACTGTAATGTTTAAGAGATATAAAGAAACTTGACTTAGCACAAGAATGGATATAAAAGTGGTTACAAGAGCATAGAAATGCCACTTTGTAGTTTTAAGGCAGCAAAAGAACACTAAAGCAAATTTAAACCACACGGGTATAAGCTACCAGCAAGTATGAATCCAAACTGGACTCTGACTAGACCTTTATCTGTATATTTATTTATTTTATAGACCAAAATAAAGCTTTGCTTTATATGCTTCATCTGAAAGATTGGAAAAATATTTTTGTAAGTCAAGAACTTACAGCCAGTGCTGCCATTTAGACTGACATTTAAAAGCTATTTAAAACCTTCAGAAATCTTCTTACTTATACAAGGACAAAACACAGAGATTAAAGATTGACTTATATGATATTCTTGCTGAAATAACATTTGAGTAACAAATTTTAAAAAGAAATAGGTTGCAGTTGACAATTGTGGATTGTCTATATAAGTGTATGACAGATAACTGTCATCTTAATATGACAGTGTGTATTGAAAAACAGTCTTTCTAATTAAAAGGTATAAGTTCAGTCTAAATCTTGGCTTCACTTTAGTTCACTACAAGGAAAGTTTAGAATTTAGTATTCTTATATGGTCTTTTAAGTTCGCCAACAGAAAGGCTATAATGAATGAGGAATAATTTAAAATGGATATAAGCTTCTGACATAACTTTTTTTTAAAGATTTATTTATTTATTCATACAAAACTGGGGTACAGGCCAGAGATGCGGAGGGTGAGAGGACTCACCAGAGACAGAGTGGGGAGCAGAACAGGCAGATCAACAAAGTACACTGCTGAGGGGAGCAGTGGGCGGGTCAGGAGAGGTCTGCCTCGCCATGTGGAGCTCCTCTGGGGCAGGCGGGGATTGAACTCATGCGGCGGAAGCGGCTTAAGCTTCTTAGTGCAGTGCTTTAACCCGCTGCGCCACCAGGGAGGGCCCTGACTTATAACTTTTAAAAATTGTTTACACTAATGGAGATACAGACTGAGAATGGAAAGAAATAGCATAACTGATTATCTCGTAAGTAAATAATAACAATGGATGATATACTACATCTCAGTAACTGATAAATGACCTTTAAAGTCAAATACGTGATCCCTCACAGAAATTTTACTTATGATATACAAAGAATAAAGGATTTTAGTTTTTCCCAAGTGCTATTTTCACTTTATTTGTGGATAGTAATACACTAGTGTTAAAGCAAGGAATGGTAAGAGCTTTGCAAGTCACAATCTGGAGAGGTAGGCGCACAATAAACACGGATCAGCTACTGAGTACCTGGTACTTTTTCACATATTATAAGAACCATTAAGTGGTAAGTTATTGGTTCCCCTTTGCAGAAAAGGTTGCCAAAATACAGGGAAATCAAAGAACTTGTCCAAAATCAAATAAATGACTAATAAAAGATTTTAAAGTTCATATAGAAATATAAAATGTCTAGTTCTTTAAGTAATTGTAATTATATCATTTGTGATTTTCATTGCCTACAGTCTCCTCTGGGAGAAATCTTGAAAACACCTATATCGGATACAATTCAAGAAGGGGTAATGTTGGCATATACGATAATATGTAATTTAGTGAAACATGGAAAGGCTTACCACCTTTGCGAAAAAATAAATTTGTGTAGTCATCAGTAGAAAATTATGAAGATTGGATATTTTACTTAATTATATGACACAGCGATAACTTCACCATTAAAAACTAAAGAATGATGATGATATAAGCTATCAGGAGCCAAAATACTTAAAATTGAATACATTTAGGGTTGCTTTATAAAGCATTACATCCAATATTATATAAGATAGAAATAGTTTGTGCTTTGGAAAGAGATCTGGATGCAAAGTGTGGTTATAATAATTAATGGCAACATGAGGAAAGTAAGAGACTTAGGTGAGTTTCTCAATCCCTCAGTTCACCCAACTGTAAAATGAGAATAAAAAAGTACCTAACTTATAGTGTTATTAAATTATATTAAGTAATAATATTAAAGGCTTGTCTGTCACAATAAAGTAGGTACACAATAAATAAATGGCAACTGTTAGTGCTATGGTTCTCGTTATTGATAGGGACTGAAGTCTGAGCTGCCCAAATAAGTCCCTTGGGAACAACTGGGTCATCCTGGTATTGTCTATACTCCCCCAAGTTAAAGACTACCAGGAACATAGTGATGGTGGAATGAGCTAGATTAATTATTTGTTGTATTGAAGCAGAATGCTCACCCAGGGGGAGTTTAGGGTGTGTCTATAAGAGGGGTTCAGAAAGAGACTAGAATTTTGTTGTCTACTGGCATTCTGAGGAACTGTTATATCTAGTGTCTAACAACATTGTTCAGTGTCAGCAGGAACTGTGATTTTATTTTCAAAATATTTAGTAGGTCAGACCCCTTTTAAGATCCATTAATAAGCTTCTTGAGGCCCTCCCTGGTGGCGCAGCGGGTTAAAGCGCACCACTAAGAAGCTAAAGCCACTTCAGCATGAGTTCCATCCTGCCTGCCCCGGAGGTGACCCACATGGCGCGGCTGACTTCTTCTGACCCGCCCACTGCTCTCCTCAGCAGTGTACTTTGTTGATCTGCCTGATCTGCTCCCCACTCTGCCTCTAATGAATCCTCTCACCACCGCCCCTGCACCTCTGGTTTGTACTCCAGTTCTGTATGCACAAATAAATAAATCTTAAAAAAGCTTCTTTAATGAATTTAAAATCTGAACTTAAAAAGTGTGTTAATGTCATAAAAGTGTGATTTTTTACAAACATACTTACATACACAATTGTTAGCTAAGACACTTTCTGCATTCACTATTCCTCTCAATAGAAATGACAGCACCAAACACCAATCAATCATTTAACTTTAGTTTACTTACAGGAAGTTTAAGTGATTTTATTAAGATCAATGTCAAATCAAAAGCCAAAATGCAACTTCAGGTCAGTTCACTATCCCAATGAAATGTAATGTTAAATCTGATTAGTAAGTTTCTCTCTTCCTCTAATGACTATATTGGGTGAGCAAATTTGTTTCTGATCTTTACCAACTTCTGTGGAGAAACAAAATATTCAAGGGTATCTTTAATGATTGCTTAGTCAGATTTTAAAAAGAAATAGATCCTCAATTTTGAAATTCCATGTTGTGAACATTTTTCTTCTTCAAATAATGAATGCTATTTTCATGAATAACTAGAAATATTTAATAGTATTTCACCATAAAATTTTCAGGGAAGGTATTTTCATAGTACATAAGAATTACAGTTTGCCATTCTCACCCCAAACTATGTTAAGCTTATAACAGTTAAGAAACTGAAAGGTGGCTCAGTATTTAAAAAACTGGCTATTATATGGCTATCCATCACCTTTGTAGAGCAGGTTTTACTGCTATCACAAACACTTCCTTACTCCATTTTTTTTTTTTAGTCCATGAAAATCAATACAAAGGACTTTCCCACAACCATATTAATCCTCAGTTTCAGCATTTTACTATCTGAAGGTACTGTAAACGAAAGGGTAACAACTATACTCTCAAGTGACACAAGAACTTTTGTGAGGAAATAAACAAGGCTTGGTATGGTGAGGTCAGTCCTGAGTTATAACAATGCCTTTATTCTAGAGTACTCTCACTAGCAGATGCTCCTGAACTGTCTTAGAGCAAGCTTCTCATTCCTAGGAAAAGGCAGAACAGTTGGCTAGAATTTCTCATAACTGGAAGGCTAAGCTCATCAAGCCTCTAAGGAATCAAAGCAAATACCAGACATCAAACCATGTTATTAAATGTCCTGATTAAAATTTTAAATATGTGACGGAGAGAAGACAGAAAACATCATTCAAAAGTTCTGGGGTATCACAAAAGTAGAAATATTGAAAAACTGCTATGTAATGAGAGAAAGATTTAGGGTCACTTAAATATAAAATATATGATATTATGTGTACATTTCATGAGTATTTGTGTGTATGAGTGTATCTCAATATATGTATATATATTATAGGAAATAAAAATATTTCAGGATATGCATGAAGATCAAGTGTATTTATTAGTTTTGAAGTGGTTTTTAGGTAAGTTAGTTAAATTGATAGCTTATAAGGGACTTTCAAATTTTATTAGTGACCACAAAGAATCTCCTAAACTTAAAGCATGTTATAAAAATGAAATAATAAAATATTTCATAAAATACAAATAGATTTCACCTAAATTAAATCACATTTTTATAAAATGTATTCCTTTAGTTTTATATGAATATGGACCATGATAGGGATTTTTATTTTAGATGCATGCTGTTCATGTAAATTCAGGACACTGAAAACAAATCAACAGAACACCTCATAATTAGCTCTCATTCATTTTAAGAAATGATACCAATCATACGTGTTGTTTATTAAACTGAGTAATAGAAAAAAAATAATGACTAGAGTACCTTTATATACTTGATTGGTTAAAACTCTGTTCTTATAAGTAAAACTTATAGGTATTTGGATTAACTACAAAGAAGCAGTGATAAAGAGAGATATGGGAGTTATCAAGAATATCCAGAAATATAAAGATGAAGAATGAAAGCCTTAACAAACTGGGATAGAAGACTTTCTAGAGCTTATGCAACTGCATAGTAAACATTACCTTAAGGCTATTTTTCAAAAGTGTAACTCCAGTGGATATGACAAATTAAAAAGATGGTAAGACTCCTTTAGATATACCACTGCCTTATGTGATCTCAGTAGTAACATCTTAGTGGGGAAATACTTATTCCCCTCACTAGTAAAATGGAAACAATACTAATGAGCCACTTTAGAGAATAATGGTAATGCTAAATTGTTAAGTCACAAAATTGAATTCTTCCTGTAATAAAAATCATATAACATGTATGGAAAACTTAAATTAAGAAAGCTACTTTCATAAATAATTCTTTAAGCTAATAATGACATCTATGCTTTTTTGAAGTATTTAACTTCACATATCAATAAGCTTTGCCATCACAATTTTAGATCAATTTATAATTTGCAGAGTATATATATTATAGTTAATTCCTGACCTCTGCTCATTAATATTCTTCACAGACAGAGAACTCAAATGTTAAGTCTTACCTGGCCAGGTTCTGTTCCAGTAACAGTCAAGTCTTGGATGGATCTACGTCTTGGCTGTCCGTTGCCTTTAAAAAAATAAAAAAGTAAAATACTGAAATCTATTCAAATAGATAATAAAGATGTAACTGCTACAGTAGGAAGTTGGGATTTGTTGCTCCTTGGATCTACACAAAATAATAATAAGTGAGTTATTACTTAGAGAGAGAGAGAAAGAGAGACAGACAGAGATAAGGAAAGGAAGAGAAATAGCTGTAGTGTTTTAACTCCAAAGTTGCTGGCCTACAACAAAATATGTACTAATACAATAACCACTCCTACCACACAAATAGCTGCTGTACTCTCTTCCACCATCTTCTGTCATGTATTTAAATAGATGAATGCTTGGGGGCTGGGGCTGATGACGGCATCTATTTCAAGGGCCTTACGTTACAGTTTCTACAGCAAGATAGCTAGCAGGTTATGAGACATGACTGGCTTTTACCAACAGCAGTACCTTGCTCTTTTTAGTGTCTAAAAGGATGCTTAAGCTCAAAATTTAATAAACGAAGTCACATTATTTTAGTCTCAGTCTATTAATTTATTATTTGTGAACTCCTTAATTTCCTATCAGACATGAATGTTTCTCATTCTGGTACCAAGTCCATATAAGCTTTCTGAAATGGACTATAAAGTTAACACTGCTTTAGAAATTTCTGTTAATAATAATTTAATTAAAAACATTTATGAAAGAATTCTATAAATGTAAGTTCAGCAAAAGATAATGAATTAAGCAATAGTGTCACTCAGCACCTTTATTTGGGAATAAGGCTATTCATACACTATCTTCTAAGACAAGAGATCAGCTGTCTAAAAGGAAACACCAAAATACTATGAGCAACAGCTGACACAATACTCAAAATTCTTTTGACTTTGAAAGCTGTATTATGTAATTTCTCAATTAGTGGGCAGCACTCAGAAAATGCTCTCTTAATAACTATCAACCAATCAACAGACAAAATTCATTCTTAAAATTTTGTATTCCCATAATCCTGAGTACCTTATTTCAACCAATCAGCAATTTCAATTAGCATTTTAATCCTTAGAAGCCCATTATTTCTGAACATAAGCTACAAATATTAATGTTTAATGTAACACATGTAGTGTATATAAAAACTCAAATTTATAACTACCTTTGAGAGTGTAGGACATTATTCTTTTCCTGTTAAAACTATGTTTTAGATCAAATTCCTCACATAATTTTAATTGAAATTTAAGTTTATTTCAAGTTTCAACTTCCCATTTCAAGTTAACACAGCCTAAATTCCACATTTACCGAGTCAGTCACACAAAGGTGCTTTTGTGACTACTTTTATCTGTTTCCTGAGGACCAAAAGGATCCCTGCCACCATTACTAACAAGCAACTTGAGGCACATTTCATTCAACACAATCATTCTAAAATTAGCTTAGATGAGACAAGGTTGTAAAAGTGTTTGGAATTCTCTTTTCAGATTAGCAACATTTGTGAAATCTGGGGAACCACCCAGCACATGTGTCTTAAAGTCATTACATCACCATTGCAGTAAAAACAAAAACAAACTTAAATCTAGGTGGGGGGAAAGATGAGAGGAGTAAAACTTTTTAGGAAGAAGAGTGAACAGTTAACAAATGCCATAAATGAGGAGAAATCTTTAAGCTACAGCATGAGTTAAGTCAAGCAATATTAAGCAATGCATTTTAATTAGCACAACCATGGCAGAAACCATCTGGCAAATAGTTCAGACAAAGCAAAAGAGGATTGCAATCAACAAATACTTGTTGCTCCAATATTAGGATTTAAATCATAATCTAGAAATATGAATGTAAAAAAATTAAACTTCTATTATTGCAAATGAAAATTACTAGCATGTTCTTATAAATTTAGATTGATTCTGACTTTTTTGCAATTAAATACTAATTTAGCAACTCACTTAATTTACATTTTTTCCATGCTTGTTTGATATGTACATACCTATATTATACATGGTAGCATAAATGAAAAATGCAGACACAAGGAGGAATATGATGTCAACAGATGCCTGATCAAGGAATCTAAAACCTGCACATAAAGTCCTGAGTATTTCATTCTGTAATTAAAAAAAATCTGGAACTTTCAAGACTTATGAAGAGAACTGAATTTTTTTTCGGACAACTTCTCTAAGCAACAAAAGGAATATACCACATCCCCAGTTAATTCTACTCCCTCACCACAAAAAAAGAATGTCTGAAAACAGTAGCTCAGAGGAGAATTCAGTTGTTTTTACAACAATGTCACAGACAGAATCTAACTTCCTAAAGAATAATTGTTCTTTCATGTACAATTGATTTCCTGAGCTGATATTTGAATATCATCACACTTCAGGGACTGGTGGCTTAGGTCCCAGACAGGGTTTTTCTATTTTTCCAAACACCCTGAAAACTCTCTTTTCATGTAAAAATCATACTGCATTTTCCTAGAGACATCTCTTAATCAAAATGTTGGAAATTTTGAGATTCCTAAGTTTTGAATACTAAATTGTGGGATATGATTTTCTTCAAGTATAAACCACATGAATTAAAAACCTGTGTAACATTATACACTGAAATATTTTACTGCTACTTCATAGTAATATGAACATGTTACTTTTTTTTTTAAAGATTTATTTGTGCATACAGAGCTGGGGTACAGGCCAGAGGTGCAAGGGTGGCGAGAGGATTCACCAGAGACAGAGTGGGGAGAAGAACAGGCAGATCGCTGAAGTAAACTGCTGAGGGGAACAGTGGGCGGGTGAGGAGAGGTCTGCCGCACTACGTCGATCACCTCCAGGGCAGGTGGGGATAGAACCCATGAGGAAGTGGTTTTAGCTTCTTAGTGCTGTGCTTTAACCTGCTGCACCACCAGGGAGGGCCTGAACATGTATCTTTTAAGTATTTATTTTCATTTAGGCTGCCGCAAATTTCATCAAATTGGCTCATTCCTTAGTCAGGTACTTCAAGGTGGGTTCGCCACCCCACACCAAAGGAAAGCAATTATTGAATTTTGCTTTTTAATAAACCAGTTTTAATAAATTAGAGTTCATCTGTTTAGATTAAAAAAGTGATCTTGGGAGACTGTAAGATAGTGGGAAGTAAATCACAAAATATTCACTATGAGGCAATATGAACTTCTCTGTTTTAGTGAAAGTGCGGTGAGTATGTGACAGAAGCAGGTACAGGGCTAGGAATTTGGCCTTAATTAAAGGTTTAGAGGTGCTAAAAATTACATTATTTGTGTAAGGTAGGAACTCGTCAGATCTAGAATGGTTCAATTCTCTTTGTATTGGTACCACACTTTTTGGGGGGGAGGAGAGGGAAGGTAGGTTGTGTTATATTCATAATTTGTGTAATTAAAGGAATGTTTATAAACACAGGTCTCTACTGGTTCACAGCTTTAGAAAAGTTACATTCTCACCCTGATGGAAAAAGTAAAATAGTACACATGTGTACCCACCATGTGTCACTGAAGCATCTCAGTCTCCAGCTGTCCAACATTCTAATTAACACTCATCACCTCCCTAACCCCATCTGTTTGCCAATTACATCTGAAACTTCTGAAGGTGGACGTCAGATTGCTTTTTGTTAAATATATTTTGTCTTTCTGTAGTCTAATTATTCTACTTATTTACTTACCTGTCAATATACAATAAAGCTAAAAGTCCCTGATTGAAATTAAAAGTGAAATTTCATTAAATTTTTCTCAGTTAAAAGATATAAATCTTTCAGTTGAGTCATGCTGAAATACCACTTATATAATTCTTAAATAGCAGCACACTAAGGTAATACTTATCTATAGAACAGATGACAGAATTTTCAAGTGTTTAAAGTAAACTTAAGCAGTATGATTTGGTTGAAATTTAGAAGTACTGATTATAATGGTATGAATAAAGCTAAATATATTCTATAAAACGTTATACTATTTAGCCTATTTTTAAAAAGTCATGTCTTATTTGAAAAAGTTTACTTTTGCAAATCACATTTGGAAATTTATTTTATTTTACAGTAACAGTCAATACGGCATGTATTACGTACAAGGAGTCCTAGAAAAGGAGAAATTCAGAACACTAATGTTTCAATTAAATCTCCCAGAGGTGCTATGTAACTTTTCCCAGTGGATTTCAAAATGGATTATAAGCATAGTTGATTTCCTTAAATACTGTAACTACTAATTCAAGGATTCCCAAGTAAAACCGCTTATCCTCCTTGATAACTTATGCTACAATGCTGAAAATTTGCTATCTTACACACTCAATACCTTACTCTGTATTTTATGGTTATTGTTCCTGTTTTGTAACTTTTAATTTCTTACCTGCTCATCTTTGACATTTAAATTTTTAAAGAAAAAGCAAAATTTAGGTATTCTTCTAATAACATTAAAGTAGAATGCATTGTGTAGTTTCACAATCCATAATCACTATTTCATTTGAGTGTCAGAGATAAAGATCGGGGATAAACAGACCAATGAAAGCTTGGATAATTAAAAACCCATAATAAAAGAATCAAATAAAGATCTATGCTCATACTAAAGAACTGAAGGGGAATAAAAAAGGAAAATTTAAAAGCAATCCAATAATCTGCCACCAACTCTTCTTAAGCACTACAAACTAAAATGACTAGGAAGGAGCTAAGACTGCACTTAAAACTTCAATTTTTATAAAAAACATTTAAAAAAAGCCTACTTTCTTTCCTCAAAGTTCATTTATTACCTTATGATGTTCAATTTAAAAATGATTAGTAGAATCTTGGCTCAAACTGCCTAAATCATGGGCAAGAAACTAACACACATGTTTTACCTGGTAATAAGGAGCCAGACTGTTCTATATCACACAATCTTTGAGGCAAGAGACCAGGGAGAGCAGACAAGAGGGTGGCCCACACGAAATTCTGCCGAAAGTTTCCTAATGTCGCCAGGGGCACAAACTGACCCTGATTCAGAACTATCAAGGCTCTTCTAACAGAACCGGCTATATACCCACTATGTGTATGGGGTTGCTGTGTGTATATATACATGTGTGCATGTTTGTTCGCAATGCTTACCTATTAGATCACTAATAGGTTCACTGGGTAAACTGGGACAAAAGGGACAATGATATGGTAAAGACACGGTTAAGATAAAACCGGATTTTAGTAGAATTTAATATCACATATGTTGACTCTCATTGTTGCATACTTGAAACTTATATGTTACTGAAACTAAAAACAGAAAAGATTATACTATCATTTGCCTAAATTTTCTTGATTCCCTCATATATTTACGATAATCACACTTAGCAGTATATACATATAATGTTGCCTTTTCTCTGATGGGAGTATTATTCCCTTGAACATAATATCTTTTAGCATGGAAGTAAAGTAATACTAAATTCTTTATTAACTTTAAAAGCAGCCCACAACTCAGTAAATGAAACTGCTATGAGGAAAATAGGCTAATTCTATTCTCTGAACAGCCATGGTAACAATGTTATATATTACTTTGCTAATCATAATAAAAATTACTTAAATACATTGGGTTTGTAAGCTAAAGTGGCCCCTAAGAATTGTGTAATTTATATATATGTGTCCCAGTTCCAAACTACTGGAGTTGAATAATGGTTTGCTCATTGATTTAAAAAGCATTTGTTAAACACTAATATGTGAAACATTTAGTCAGATAATGCTGATAAAAACTGATAATAAATAAGCAATCTATGGTAACCACCTTCAGAATTTGCAGTTTATTAGAGGAAAAAAGAACACAAGTAGATAGATATTCCACAATAACAGAGTACTATGCTAACCTCACAGACACTGGCAGAGTACAGAGTGCTAAAGAATTCAGTCAAATCACACCGAAGAATGTGTATAGAAAAAAAACAGTGTACTCCCAAGGGACTATGGTGATAGGTCATGAGTGCTATTGTGGTGGGAGAACTATGGGGATTATACCTGAGAGGAGAAGTCAAATACTGTCCAAAAATTAGTAATAATAAAAGAAAAAAAGTACTTCACCTAAGAACAAACAAAAACTTAAAAAATGTATGTCAAATTTTTTAGTGAAAAGATAGGGGAAAATCTAAAGTAGAGGGGTAAATATAAGATCATTTTGCTATGTATCTCCAACACCAGATGTCATATACACTATCTGTTTTAATAAAAAACAGTGATTTACAATTTATCTGTGAAATGATCACCATATGAAATAAAAACAATTTACCAAGTTCAGACAATTAAGTACCATGTGTGAGTTAGGTATAAAAATTGCAATTTGCAAAAAATTTTTTTGCTGATATGACGTAAGAATCAGAATTGACCATGATTCTTTGGAAAGATACCCTGTAAAACAGCAAATCTCACTTAGTTTGACTTTGCGTCTATGTTTGAAGTTAATACAAAATGCAATTTAGCAACTGTTTTCACAACTTCCTATTTCACTTGCTACCAACAGAAAGAGGTTGGGATAGAAAGCCTAGAAGTCATCCAAAAAAAGTAGTAACAAAGGAAGTAAAGGAGCCACAGATAATAAATATTTTTAAATTCCTCTTTCTGCTGGCTGGATAAAAAGTCTGCATTCAATTCATCTACTCACTTAAAAGATGAGAGGAGTTGGTAGAATTCTGGGCTGCTATTCTTTCTGTGAAAAGGTTTCACACTGCCTTCTATTTACTCTCACCATTGGAGATGTGGGTAACATATCAAACCTGCTTCAGGGTAGACAAATGTATATAGTTTTCAATCTGTCTTCCTAAGGTATCTATTGTCATGTCCTACACAAATTGCACTTGATCTTAGCCAAAAGGCCGAGAAGCGATGTCCTACACAAATTGGAGCAAGAAGCATTTTATAAGTACCAGGGATCATTACTCCGGTTCCACAGCTATTCGACCAACTCAGGTGGTCTATGATACCTGATATGACGATCTCAGGGACATCCAGAATGTTGCCAAATGAAGCGGTTTTACGGTGACCCCGTTTAGGCTTGGAATAGGCTGCAAAAACACATATATACAGTATACATGCAAACAACCACAAATAGGAACACAGAAAACGATTAACTACAAAAACAGAATAATACTCAAATAGTTATGTTAATAACACTTCATGCAGGATAACATGCAGAACTATCACTAACTTTTCATCCATGCTTAGAAGAGGTATGATTAAGGAGCAAACAGCTACTAATATAGATGTTTCACATACTGGCTTCAATTAGCAGGAAAAAAAAAATCAGACAAAGACATACAAAGCTGCAAGGGTAACAAAGAAGCTAAATTTCAAACATGTTTACAGAAAATCTACCTAAGTGAAACCACTGATAGGCGATGAGGATGGTTTGGATGAAAGTGCGAAGGAAGAAAGGAGTTAACAAGAAATAAGTTGCCATATTTTGTTTAATTACACAAACATAGGAATATATACGTTCAAGTTAGTTGTTTCCTGAAGTGTGCTATAAATTAAAGTTCAGTGATTAAGTAATTATTGAGTCAAAGTATAAAATGTCTATGTTTTTATTATTATAAATATTTATACATACGTCTAAGAGGCAATTTACTGTAGTTTCCAAAGTTCAGGGTATAGTCCCATTCAACAGAAATAGCAATGAACAGAGAACAAGGACCTTTTAACATAAACTAAAAATCTGAGTTCACTAAGTGTGCTAAAAATCCGAATCACTTAAAAATTCAATGGATGTTCAACAGGACCTGTCACACATGTATGCAAAAGAGGAAAGAGGAATTGAAATGTATGTGGTTATCTTTAATTTAGGAAAATAACCACTTTCATGAAGAACTATTCAATCTTTTACTAGAAAACTGTATTAGTAAAGATGAAAAATTATACTACTACTTTCTGTTTCAGGGAAACAGTCAGTATTTGGGAGAAATATTTTGAATATAGTCCTGAAGTGGAAAAGGTTCCCAAAGTGTGAGGGTCTGCTCCTGTATACAAAGTTCATCTGACAGATGAGCCCTCACTCAACAGAAATACTGAGACTCACAGAGACCAGGAGAATTTGTCAGTGGCTGGTGACCTTCACTCAACTTGATATTTTTCCAAAGATCCATCTCTGTGACAGAGACTGCTAGTCTCCAGTTAATCTGTCTTCTTTCTTATCAATAGAGTTTTGACTTTACTCATGACAGTAAGGTTCACAGATTAAAGACTACAGGATTTTTCCTTCCCAGAATCACATATAGCCCTGTCTGACCATTTTACTATGGCCAATGTTCTTGGGAGGGAATTCTGGGAAAGAGTCTTGAAAAAATTTGGACATATACCTTTTTGTGCTTCCTCTAATTTTTTATTCTGGCTGCCTAGACTGTGGATATGACGACTAGAAGAACTATAACAGTCATTTTGGAGCAGAAGTAATCTGGAGGATGAAAGCTATACAATAGGGATTGTGGAACCAAGTGACAGAAGGGGTTCAACTGCTTAATCATCATAGAGAGTACCTCTAGATTTGTTTATATGTGAAAAAATAAAGTTTATGTGTTATGTACATGGCTATTTTGATCTTCTGTCATATCTAACTGGTTGTAATGGTAACTGAAAATAATCAGTGACCATGATTAATTGCAGACAAGTATACTATAAAATCCTCTAGATAGTTCCCTCTGAAAAAAGCTCTACCAAAAATGAAAATATTCTACTTAAGGAAAATAATGACAAAAAAAACCCACAACAAATCCTAAGGAAAAAAGGGATTAGCTAAGTTAAAAAATACATATGCAAATACACATGTATACACATATGTAATTAAAGACTAAAGGTAAATACATAAAAGTGTTAAGGGTTTATCTCTGAGTTGGACAAGTAAATGGAAGATTTTTTTTTTTTTTTGGTTGTTTACATTCCCACTTTTATCTCATAGAAATATACTTAGTTTTATAATCAGCTCCCCTCCACCTCTGGGGCAGTCAGAAAGAAAACAAACCAGAATTACTAAAATAATCTAAGTCAGGAAATGAAATTGTCTTTTTTTTTCATGTAGTAAACATGTAATGGCTTTTGAACTGATGAGTTCTTCCATAATTAGTCATTCAAGAACTGATAAATGGAATTTAAATGCCAGCTTTTTCAAGATTGAATAAAATGACCATGATCTTTTATTTTACAATTAAATAAATTACCCACAACAAGTTTAGCTACTTTTGCAACTGGAAGGAGTAATAGTTTGACAAAAGCCAACTCATATTTTGATCTGCAGTCTATTTGTGTTAACCTCAAAACAAAATAAAATATTTGCTGTTATTTGAGTTCAGCACAGGTTCAAAACCCTCCAAAACATTCTGATTTTGCCAAATTTCAATTTCTGAATTAGATTTTCAGCTCAAGCTTGAGCTGAAAGAATTATATTTGATAACATCTGTAACTAGGGAAAGCGTATTTTCTGAACCAATAATTTTGTACCTCATACCTCCCTTGGAATTTGAGATAAAATACTGCTAAATGCTTAAAAAGTATGTCTACTACCTCCTTTTAAAAAACTGAGAAACCAACCCATGACATTCCCACTCCTGAAAAACTGTCACTACCATTTTCACTCCTTCTCACCCTCTTTAGTTCCTTTTTACCTGTGGTTGCAGCAATCCTGGCTTCTATTTCAGACATGTCAGCACTCATCCTCTTGCCCTCAGAAGTTGGGGGCAAGCTCTCTATGCTGCTCCCACGGGAAGCTCCCAAGCTTAAACGTCCAGATTCACTCTGTTAAAATTACAAGTTCATGTGAATTACTGAAGCGCTTTAGATTAAAAATCCTAAGCAGCCTAGAAGGAGAAAAATACCAAATGGGATTCTTATGGATTCTGTTCTGCTCTAAAGAAGAGGGAATTTCAGGCAAAGGGAGGTACAAGAGTAAAAGAAAGTAAGTTGCAGATACTGGCCTTTAGGAAAGGGCAGTCACTGGAACTAGGAGCTAAATGCCCTAGTTACTAGTTAATTTAACTGCCTTTAAATACTTTAAATGAATAATGATAAAAATATAAGAAATTAAACAAAATGAAATGACCAATTTAGGACAAGTCCTTTAAGTAAAAATACTCATTTTACATTTTAATTATCAACCACTGAAGTTAGGGTTCATCATAAGGAGGGAATCAGGAGTTGGCAAAGGGAAAATAGAAAATCATTAGAAGGGAAAATAACTCTGGTAAGAAATGGTAAGATAATCTCAATCTGTGACTCTACTTTTTATTTTAATCTGTGTGCTTCGGGAATAAGATACAAGATTTATATCATGCAAGATGGCAAGTAATCAATTTCAGTTAGTATGTTAAAACTACAGATAAGGGCCCTCCCTGGTGGCGCAGCGGGTTAAAGCACTGCACTGAGAAGCTAAAGCCACTTCCGCATGAGTTCAAATCCCGCCTGCCCCGGAGGAGACCACATGGCGTGGCAGACCTCTCCTGACCCGCCCGCTGCTCCCCTCAGCAGTGTACTTCGTCGATCTGCCTGTTCTGCTCCCCACTCTGTCTCTGGTGAAGCCTCTCACCGCCCCTGAGCCTCTGGCCTGTACCCCAGTTCTGTATGTACAAATAAATAAATCTTAAAAAAAAAAAAAAAAACTACAGATAAGGTACCAGATGATTCTATTTTTTTAATAACAAAACAAACCTGCTGTTTTGCCTGATTTTTCAACAATTTTGATTCTAAGCGCTTGATAGTATCATTTGTAGCAGGAACCTGCTCCATATTAGTGTCGCTTTTGTTACTGGTATTTGTAGAAGCGATGTCCATGAATGAGCCTAGGAAAGCAGAAATATTTGACTATAGGCTAGAAACAGCACAAATGCTTTATTTAGTAATATGTAACTTAAATTCTTTCCTAAAGTAGAAAAAGGTTTTTAGAAATAAAATTCTTCTAGTTAACAAGAACACCCAAGTTAACCCATTTTAAATGAAATTTAAGAATAAAAAAAAAGGACTAAAATGCCTAAATGATTTCCTAATAGTTAAAGATGACTTTAAGGCTCTTTGAGTAAGAGGAATGGAGTGGCTATTAAACTATGTAGGAAAGACCACACAACGAGTGAGCTTGAAGGGTATATCAGGAAATCAGCTTGGAAAACAGACTGAGTTCCTCCTCGCTATCAAGCAAGTTTAATAATCTTCCCCTACCTGCAGTATCAGTTCTCATAATAAGCTACAGTTGAAAGCATAATGCACAATAAGTTTTAAAAGCCCACATTCATTTAACTTTGACATACTGCAGTATGTTGTTGTAATTGCTCTTTTTTACTAATTAATGTTACTACTATCTTACTGTGACTTACGAATATTTAATTTGTGACTGTTATGATTGGCATGAATATAATAAAAACATACTTAAATATGGTTTGGTACTATTTGTGGTTTCAGACACTTATTGGGGAGTGCTGGAATATATCCTCTAGATATTGGACACTGCCGTAGTTGGATATGTGAGAATGAAGCTCTGGAATAGAGCATAACCTCTGCAAACTGATGGTATAAAAACGCCACTATGCTGGGTGAGGTTACCAAGGCACTGAGTGTAGAAGAGTGAAGAAATAATTTTGAGTCCCAAGCACTCTTACATGTAACCACTGGGTGAGGAGGACTAACCAGTAAAGAAACCATTGGAACAGTTTCCAGAGATGTGAGATGAAACTCAGGCTAGTATGGTATCCTGGAGATCAACTCAAGAAAGTGTTGTCAGAAGAGAGTAATGAATTGTGTCAAATGCTGAGAGTCAAAAAAGATAAGAATGGAATACCATTCAGATTCAGTAATATGGAGATAACTGGTGATCTTGACAAGAGCAATTCTGGAGTTGTGGTATAATGCAAGTGAATGGAATGGAAACTGGAAGCTACAGAACACAAATGCAGTTTATATATACTCTGAGAAAGATTCCCAGTAGAAATGCTGAAACACTTCAGATTCCCAGTAGAAATACAAGAAACAAAAGGAAAAAAATGATGGCAACGTGGAAGAATGAAGGAGGACCTAAAAGAACTTAGGGTCAGTGAGAAAGTGGAAGGATCTAAAGGTCTGAGAGAAACAGGGAGAACTTTTAGTAGTTGAAGTAAATAATGGAATATTAGAGAGGCTCACTTTAGAATTCAAAGCAATCAATTTTCAGTGAAATTGGAAATATCTTGCTAAGTGGTAAATCAGCTTAAAATAAATTATTTTTAATGTTGAAAAATAAAATTTTAAATATGGGATAAATATATGTGTAGGTCTACCTTTTACTTTTTAATGAACGCTTAAAATACCATATATTTTGAAAGGTACACTTTTTCTGAATTAGGGAGTTATTTTTGCTTTCCTTTTTGAGGACCACAACTACAGATGCTATTCCTACTTTATATTTAAGAAATTGAGGAAGTTTAAATTAACACACTTTTTAAAATAGGATTCCTAGAAAACTAAAATGCACGATATTCATGAGAATTACGTGGTTACAATTACAATTTCTTGTGCTTTTTCAGCAGTAGCTACATAAAAACTATTTTTTACATAAAGAATGACATTCAATCTTAAAATATCCAATGTTAAAATCTGTAACTATGCAAGAATTCCAAGAGTTGGAAATCTGTCCTCAGTAACTCTTTAATCTGGGTACCTTCATGCCGAATGATGCACCTGGAAACTCAAATTGCAGTCAATCAATAAGAAATGCAGAAATTAAAATGTAAATGAGGACATCATTCATTGCTTCTTGATTATAATTTCATGGGAATAGAAACAAAAAAACTGAGGCTATTAGTCTTCCAAGCTCTCCTCTTACCTGTACTGGTGGCAGAGTTGCTCTGTCCTTCATCTGAAAACTGACAAGGGTACTGTAATGGCTCATCTGCTCCTGGGAAGTACTATATATAAAAAAGTAAACCACAATTTAAAATTTCTTTAATACAAATGAAATCCTCCTAAAATGTATTTAGAAAGTGTATATGAACTATTCTCTTGTTGCAGAATTTAAATGTAGCGAAGAGGCTGCACTGTTTTCCTTAAGGTATACTGAATTTGTAAGTACCTATTTTTATTATGAAGATGACAATAATGCACTCTTCTGAATTTCAATTGTGATCAGTGCCATGTATCTATGTGAGTGTCTATTTTATATAGAACCTAGTCATGAAAAAAACAGCAAATATTTCCCTAGAGGAACATAGGAAATAAAATAGTATCACTCCTCATAATTATAAGAAAAATGTTTACGTTCTCACAGCAGTGATATCAACTTTGTGGGAATGACTCAGTCTCTGACTCAGTACAGCTGAGACAGGTATACTATAAAATTGTTAGAACTAATAACATCTATACACACAGTTACAGTTTTAACAATTTACCCATCCCAATGTGTAACAAACTACCAATATTATGTTTCTTATTAACATAGTTATGCTCTAAGATTCTTTATGTAACTGGTTTCCAAATACGATGGTAAACTTTAATCAGATTACTTCAAGCTGGCTTCCTAACTTGTCAGAATGAGCAACCTAAATCTTCGACCATTTAAGAAGGGTTTTATTCTCTATGTAAGGAGACTAAACAACTTTTCTAAAATTCAGGAAATTTCATAAGTGTGTGAACTTTTTAAAGTCAAAGTACTACTCGGAACATTTTGTAAGTATAATAGAAAAACCAGAGTCCTAAAATTTATCAAATCATTCTAAAAGTGACTTATAGACTATGAAATTTTGATAGTCATTAAAAAAGGGTCTTCTATAAATCCTAGAAGCTTTAACTTTTAAATGGCAAATAAAAAGCTGAAAATATGCAAGAGAAATGAAAAAGGTAAGAATCACTTAAGTAAAGGTATCTGAGAATACAACTTCTCTGTACCCCCGCTTATATAAATGATTGCTTGATGAAAATTCGTACTAAAGAAAATTAAAATTGAGTTTAGTAGGTTTTAGAGTCATAAAATGCCTCTAAGTTCTGAAAAACAGAGTTCCTCTAATAAACCTGTTGTTGAGTCAACAAGCCCAGAAAGAAACACAACTGTCCACTAAGCTAAACAGAAGAAAAAAAAGCAGCTCCCAAAACCTCAACTGGCTATGTTTTCTATAATAAAGACTAGACTTTTCAAAATCTAGTTTCCGCCTCTAATTAATTATATGAGTAATGAATACCCATCCTAACTTAGAAAATACAAAAAAAAAAAAAAAAGCAAAATAGCACAGCAATAATGTATCCTTTAATGAAAACCCAGTAAAATGCAATAGATACCAAATTCCTATAAACCCAAAACCCCTCAAAAGAAGGATTATACCCGCATCAAGTGAGTCATTATTTTCACAATTTCCTCCATTGAAGGGCGCTGAGAAGGATCTTTAGACCAGCAACGAGTCATAAGACTTTCAATGGGCTTAGGTAAATTTTTGATGAGTGGTGGTCGAGTACCTATAAATGAAAATTAGAGGGGGAAAAAGAATGATGCAAAGTTTTTATATGTATCTCCAAAGTAGTAATTATTTTATAGATCGTGTAATTTTAAGGTCTTTATTTTGGGAATAATGATAGCAGTACTATTTCTGTCTTTTAGGTTAGTATCTATTCTATGTATCTTCATAAAGGGGAAGCTATGCTTTTTAAAAAGCTAAATTTCAATTTTATATACATTATGGGTAACAAGACAATGAATTAATGACATTTCATTTCCTCTAAGCATTCTTTTTTAACAAATAATAATGGCTCAATGTGGTTTTTAATTAAGAAAAATAAAATGGTAATTTAAGGAAATCTTACTTGAACTTTATACTTTGAAATTCTTTGAAAAAATTTCAAGTAAGTTTGAAACATCATTTTCCATATCTGAGCACTTATGTATAATTACTGAAATTTTAATATTATAAGGAAGGTCCCTAACTTAAAAAAGCCCTCAATGAGATCTTTGTAAGTTAGTTCTTTTATTCCTCACTTCAGGGATATTCAATTATTCACTGACAATTGTCAAATACAGAACAACTGTCTTGGTCAATGCTCTAGCATTCTATCCAGTGACATTAAAGAAAATAATATATAGGTAGTATAGGAAATTGGTAAAGCTAGTTAAGAATGCTCAGAAGATAGTGCTGTTTAAGAAGCTGATGAATGACTTAGTCAGGCAGATACTTTTTATATTACTTGTGTAATAGTGCAGAAAAATGCCATTGATTAGAATGATTATAATCAACTGAAAGTAAATATGATATCTCCTAATACCATGTGTGGGTAGAAACATAACCAGAGATATAAAGGCACAGGAGAGATGCAAGGACACTGAAGATGTAAATTAATATTTACATTTCTTAAAAATGTAGTTATTTAAGAAAAAAGATCTGAATCTCTGCTTGACCACTTACAAACACTAAAACCTTGGGCAACCTCTCCAGGTAAAATCTGTAAAACTCTAAGGTGAGGCAGTAATAGTTCTCACTTCTTAAGGAAGAGTGAGAAGATAAAAAGAATGCATGTCGGAAGTACTTTAGCTTTTTGTAAAGCTTAAGTAACAACTCTTATTATTATTTGTTTTATCTCCTTGGTGAGAACCTTGTTTCCTCAGGAGAAAAAGGCTATATAGTTCTCTAATTGTCTTAACATTATGAAAGAATCTATTTAAATTGTTTATTTTCTTCAGAGTCCAGTCTGATGCTTCTTTAGTTCCTGGAAAGAGCCCAACTAGGTAGCTGGCAATGGCTGTCTAGTAATCAACATGGCTGCAAATCTTCCCAGTGTCATGGGAAGATAGGAAGGATCATAATAAGCCCTGACTTCCTGATTTTGGGGGTGGAGTGCAAGCTGATAGGAAGTAAGTATTCTTATAACAGAGAAGTGTACATTTTAATATTAAGGAGTAAATGGGCTTCTTGGTGTGTGTGTGTTGGGGGTGGTTAGGGAACAATCATCTTAATAAATTAAAGAAACCATTTTCACGAACCATTATGAACAGCCCACATGATACGGAAGGCTGGGCCACCAATCTCATCAAATGGTTTCCGACGTGTTATTACCTCCCAAAGAATGATACCCCAGCTGAAGACATCACATTTCTCACTGTAATTGCTACCTAGAAAAAAGATAGTAAAATTTCAAGACTTTATTTTTATATGACTTATAGAAAAACTACTTTCCTTAAGAATGACTATAGTACAAAAGAAGAGGCTATTACATGTAGAGTTGAGAAATTATTGTTAAAGTAACTTAAGTCTTTGCAACAAATATAATTTTATGTGGTTTAAGTTTTAATGCACTAAACAATTCTAGAAAGTAGACTTTTTAAAATTTTTCAACAAGAGACAAAGGTTTTGCCTTAGACTTACTTTCCTAGGGATAGAATACAAAAATATTTGTACATTTTTTTTCTTTAAGTCAGAAATTAACTTTATTGTTAAAAAAAAAGGGCAGGAAAAACAAAAGTGAAAACGGAATCATGCATAGGCACAAATGGGCAGCTCTTAATGGGCAATAAGTTGCCTTTTGATAAGGGCAGAATTAAAAAGAGAGACCTGCCTTTAGGGGTATCTAGACATAGGCAAACAGTCTTAGGATAAGATCAGCCCATTTACACTCCTTTTATGTAATTTTCTAATGTCAATTTATCTCTTCCACTCTCTTGATAATACTACTCTACTGGAAAAAAAAACAAAAAATAAAAAATAACTCTTTAACTTGTGTTAAGATTTTTTTCCAATAACTGGCAAGAAAATTCTTAATTTACAAGGTTACTTGTACTTAGAATGTATACCAAATATACACTCTGCAGTGCTCTGATGTAGCTTTAAAACCTAATTAGGGTTACAGGAAATGACCTATCAATAATAAAGAAATTTACATAGCCTAAATATCTGAGCTTTGTTGCTATAAACAATTAACAATAAATTTTATTTCTGGGTTCTTTTATATATAAACAAATCTTTTTTCCCAAAACTATTGCAGTACTATGCCACTTTAACTCACAGAAAGCTGTATTAAATATCTAAATAAATTAACACCTTTTAAAATATTTATCACTGATTTACTAACACTGAACTCATGATAACATATGAATAAATGAAGATTATCTAGGTCAGGTATTTTCTTCATAAGACATTCTTTTTATAAAATAGTTTCTAGAGAGTACTTTAACATTATTCTTAGAAGTCAAATGAATAAACAACGAAATCACCAACAAAATGCACAGAAGTATAAAAAATGTGGCAATAAAGAGATGACAGTATGAGAGCTGTCTGAGAGCCTCAGCTGGGAACATGAATGCTGGTGATTCAAAATTTTCCCACTTTATAAATGACTACCAAGTCATCTGTACCAAGTACTGACTTTGGTCACAAGTAGATTACTGCAATTAAGAAATCTGAGAATAATGAAGACTGACTGTATAGATGCTTAGACTTACACAGAAGATGTTAGCCAATTTAAGTCTTCTGTGAGTTTTAGATGTAATGCTGTATTCATTTAATACCTCCTTAAACTTTAGTATCTATCTTATAAGTATTATGCAGAAATAAAAACATGCAAATAAGGCAAAGCTATAAATACTGGATTTCCATAAGAGAAGGGCGATTACCAATCATGCTTTTGCCATTTACCTTCAAAAACTTCAGGTGCCATCCAAGCAGCACTCCCCTTGTTATTGGTCATATGTGTCTGAATGTCACAGGCTGTACCAAAATCACAGATTTTTAAAACTGTCCCTCCTGCAACAAGCAGCAAGCTGTTTAAAAAAAAAAAAAAAAAATCCAAAGCTTAGAAGACCAATATTTGGCACTATAATAAAGGGCATAAATTCATGGAAACAGAAAGGGTTAAGCAAAATGTTATTTATTTTCTGTGAAATGGTATCTGGTCACTGTGACAGCTGAATAGTTTGGAGACAAATCAGCCAAAAAATAACTCAACTTTTACCTACTAACTCTCTCAGGGAAACTGTCAGACCCATATTTTGATGTCTCCCTATCTATTTTACAATCTTTCCAGGTTATACTTCTCTTTGTGCTAATGTAAAAAATGGGCTTAAAAAACTTCCAGGTGAGGGGCCCTCACCTAGAGCAGAGGGTTAAAGCACTGCACTAAGAAGCTTAAGCCACTTCCCCATGAGTTCGATTCCCGCCTGCCCCAGAGGAGATCCACATGGCGCGGCAGACCTCTCCTGACCCGCCCACTGCTCCCCTCAGCAGTGTACTTCGTGAATCTGCCTGTTCTGTACCCCACTCTGTCTCTGGTGAATCCTCTCACCCTCCGCATCTCTGGCCTGTACCCCAATTCTGTACGAATAAATAAGTCTTTAAAAAAAAAAAAAACTTCCAGGTGGTCAAAAAATAATATCCTGAAATGACAGGGTATATATATCAATATCTTTATAGATTAGCTGTCCTCTGGACTTAATCCCCAGGGCTTTTCAAGCTGTCAATAAAATCTAGTTATAAAATTAAGATCACAGATCTAGAAACCACCATAAATCAATTTAGCAGATTATGACAGCAATTAATGAAGTTGAACACATTAAAGCATATCACAACTAGTAAGATAAAATGCTGTTTCATGAACAGTTCCTTTCAGTTCTTTCATTTCATAAATGTACATATTACACTTGATTGTGAAGTATTTCTTACTGTGGAATATGATTTAAAAGTTTGCAAGCCAATCCCACTCCTAGGTATCTACCCAACACACAAAAACACTGATTCAAAAAGATACCTGCACCCCCATGTTTATTGCTGCTTTATTCACAATTGGAAAGACATGGAAACAGCCTAAATGCCCAAAAATGGATGACTGGATTAAACAGATGTGGTACATATACACAATGGAATATTACTCAGCAACCAAATAAAAAGAAACACATGTCATCTGCAACAACATGGATGGAACTGGAAAAGATGATGCTTAGTGAAATAAGACAGAAAGAAAAGGAAAAATACCGGATGGTTTCTCTCATACCAGGAATATAATGGAACAGGCAAGAAAATAATGATAATGATGAACAGCTATATACCAGAGATATTTTGTGGGGATGGAGCGGGGAATGGGATCAAAAACAGTGGGGGAGGGAAATGCACTGGACTATGGTAATGGCACATGGGTGATTTAATGATGGGAAGCCCAAGGGGATTGCAAATGAGATGGAAAAATGCACAAAATGATGTAAAAGTAAACTATATATATATATAAAAATAAGATTCAGAAGAGAAAAAAAAAAGTTTGCAATCCTTTTTTCAACCTTACAATGAATAAAAATGAGTTTTTAGTTTGACCTAATGTTTGGTTAGCTAGTTACTATCTCTACTTCCTCCCATCTGAGCTCACAACAGTATTATATATTTCACAGCTTCTGAGCAGTTAAGATATCACCGCTTGGTCAAATAAAATGCGGCTTGAAGTGATTACTTCACTTTCAAAGTCTGTCCCATAAAAATTTCTTTTTTCCATTCTTGTACATACATCCAGGGACCCTGGGAAAGAGAAGTCAGCTTAAACCTGGGAGTAGAAATGAGATAAACTAGTGAGAACAGTGATTCCAACAGTTGAAATCTATGGAGAATGTATCAAGTTAGCCAAGAGTGACAAGTAATACCCAGAAGAGATACTTGATTGCTTTAAAACAGTATCAAGAGACTGAAATAGCTGACACTATCCTTGACTCATTTCCTAGGGGAAACAGCTAAGGACTAATTATGGGGGTGTAAGAGGGGAGGGAGAAGAGTGCATAGGGGGCTTTATATTGTCACAGGTGAATAAAGAAGAAAAAAATTAAAAAGGGGATACACACCACATGTGCATGTTTTTCATGAACTGCCATAAAAACAAACCCCCCAAGGCCCTCCCTGGTGGCTCAGTGGGTTAAAGCACAGCACTGAGAAGCTTAAGCCACTTCCTCATGAGTTCAATCCCCGCCTGCCCTGGAGGAGAGCCACATGGCGTGGCAGACCTCTCCTGACCCGCCCGCTGCTCCCCAGCAGTATACTTCGTTGATCTGCCTGTTCTGCTCCCCACTTTGTCTCTGGTGAATCCTCTCACCCTCCGCATCTCTGGCCTGTACCCCAGTTCTGTATGAATAAATAAATCTTATAAAAAAAAAAAAACAAAAAAACAAACCCCCCAAATTTTAGTGACTATTGAGGGAATTCTGTAATTCTTTCAAAGACTCTAGATTCTCAATATAGAGATATTCAGAATATTTTCAATTTCTATCCAGAAGCAAGAGATTGTCCTTTGACACCTCTGAAAGAGCAAATAAGCACTCTAAACTTTTGTAGAATTTCTACTATGTGTGGATATTGTGCTAGTTGTTAAAGACACAGCAGCAAGCAATACCAGTTTTTCTCTGCTGTTATGGAGCCAACTACCTAGGGCAAACAATAGATACTGCAAGCACAGAGTAAGATTTATAGGCTAACAGATTCTAGAAATAATGCTAATATGAATAGGTGTTATTAGAACAAAATGTGACTGAAATAAAAATCTCACTAATGACAACATTCTAATCTGAAGCTTAGATAAATGACTAAATGATAAAGATGAGTAAAAATAAACAATCATGAGTAAGCCGAAAAGAAATGAGAAACTAGTGTGCAACAACCCAACTGAACTAGGGAGCCGGTTTAGGCTAGTGAAAGAGACTTATCACAGTATTAGAACTCACTTTGGTGGTTTCAGATCTCTGTGGATTAGAGCTTTGGGTTGCATACTGTGAAGATAAGCCACTCCTTGGGAACACTGTAAACACCAACTCATTGCGTGGGCAGCAGTGTAATATGGCAATGGTTCAGCACCATGCAGCACTGCAAAAGAAAGGCACAAACTAAAAAGAACTTTATTGCATATAAAAAAATGATACAAGGTAAATGCAACAAGTCAGAACACACCAGTTGTATCTGTCTACACATGTTCTCATCAATCCTGCTTCAAATTCTTTTCTAAATAAAAAGATGGGAAATATATAGTACTTTTAAATAGAAAGCTACCACATATGTACTTAACATTCAATAGTATTATGATATGCTATATTCATTCAAGTAAAATGAATATTGGTACAAATTTTCAATCAAAATAGTTTTGCACATTATAAATTATAAGTAATGAGGCAAACTACTATAAGAAAAGTATTGAGAAACAGTACAGAAGGAATCAAAATAATGAGTGTCAAGTTTTTTATAATTATGTTCTCAGTAACAGCTAAAACTTAAAACAAGAGTTTCAGGTACTACTAGGAATGATGAAAAATTGGGCAGTAAATGAACTGGTGTAACAAGAGAATACATAAGTGGTTGGTGATTCTGTTCTATGAAGATAACTAAATGATACATAACTCTCTTTCATTGTTATAATTAAAACATTTCATGAAGTAAGTTTTCACAATTTTATTTCTTAAGAAAGCAAAATTAAGCGAAATGGACATATGATTAAAGAGTTTTGAAATGAGGAGGTTCGAAGCTAAGCGTGGGCAAAATCTAAAAAAAAATTAAAAGTGAAGATATTTAAAAATCTATTTAAAAAGCAAGTTATACTTCAGCTAAATGCTTTTAACATTATGAAAAGTACTTCAATTTAAAAGATTGATATACTTAGACTTCTAAATTTCACATGTAAATGTAGCATCTTATCATTTTTAATCTTAAGCCGATTTCTTTCTTTAATTACCTCCTTTTGGGACTCTGAGGTATAGAGTGAAGAACATTAAGTAACTTATAGTTTATACTTAAAAGCTTTTTAATTATATTGCTCTACTAGCTAAAGACAGGTCTAATGACACTCACCATTATATAAAGAGCCCCCTTCAGCATATTCCATCACAAGACACACCTAAAAGAAACATATGACAGATTAATCAGTTATAACATCTTAAGGGATTTAAGAGATAACTTGCTCATTCTTTGATTTTATAAATGCTTTAATAACCATTCTTTTGGTCTCCACTATGTGAATGGCATTAAAGAAAAAAAAGAATCTATGATCTACAACCTTATCTTCTAGCAGTCCACTGTTTAAGAGTAACTCCTCTTAGAGTGGAGACACATAAAAATATGATCACGGTTTTCTGGGGGCTTTCTTTAGTGCCAATGAGTACATAGTGCCACAACAAGTGAGAGTAATCAAAAAGTCTTATAAGAAAATGAGGTTATTAGCAGACCACCTAAGATAAGTCTTCCATTATATAATGGGTTGCTAAGACTAGAAATAAATTAAATATATAAGTACATCTAATCCATGACGATGTTATTGTGTTCAGAAATATCATAACATATCAAAATAGTTTTACAAACCACATATCTGTCAAGTTGTTCCTTACTGACTGGGGACAATGAAAAAGTGACACACTGACCGGATTCAAGCAGGCTCCATATAGCTTTACAATGTTCGGATGGTTCACACGGGATAACTGTCGAAGCTGTTAACAAGTTAAGATCACTTTTAAATAGTGTTAACTATTAAGGAAATGATTTTACATCATTATTAAAATCTATGGTTGTACAAAACATTAATTTGATTGTTCAACAATAACTATTCTGTAACAGGTACTGTGGTCCTAAGTATCTCCCCAGGGGAGGCCAGAATCTCTGCTCCAAACTTGTTGTAGATTAGTTTTGGGATAGATGTGTACACAAATAATTAAGGCAATGAGCAAAGTGTTATAACAGGAGTCACAAACAAGCATGATAAAACTAATAAGAAGAAACTAACTTTGCCAAAAATATTAGGACACCATTCCAGAGCTGGCTCTGGGCTGAGTTATCTAAGTCAGAAAGAAGCCACGTCATTGCCATCATCATCATCTTTATAGTTACAGCTGAACAGTCTATCTACACTAAACCAGGCTCTGGTGGGCACTTGAAGATACTGCAACAACTCTGAGATACTCTCACAACTCTGCAAGGTTAAGTATTATCATTTCTACCTTAAAGATGTAGGACCTTTAAGATATATCGTTCAGAGAGTTAAATGAGCCCATTAAGCACAGTATTACAGAAAGTGATGTAGAAGTATTTGAACTTAGCTCTGTAGGACTACAAATCTATATTCTGTCTTCCTTACATACCATCTCTCATCTCTGAATTAATTCTTTCCTATCCACTCTCACTGCTATTGCCTTAGTAATTCTAATATAAGCTAGTGTGGTAATGTCTGTGGTCTCCTAGCTGGTCTCTCTTTGTCTAGTTTTAATCTTTCTTGATCCAGTGACTGACAGTGAGGCCAGTAAAGGTTTTGGCTGTATTCACTCCCTTTGTGCAACATCTAAAACTTTTTATTATATACTATTAGAAAGCCTATGTTTTTACAGTTAATATTTGTGGATTTCTGGCCCCAATAGAGAAGTTAATGTCACTATTTATAATACATATTAATTATGTATCCCTCTTGTTAAGTTTATGTGTAACCTTAATTTTCTCCCTTCCAACTATTACCTTTTAATTCTTGATACCTGGTAATTGACACAATTCTTTTACCTAGTTTTATGAAACTGCCAACATAATATATCAATAACATCATATAAACTATAAACAAAAATCATAAATAATAATAATAAAAAAAACAAGGCTAAGGCCAGACTGTTGGATATCAAACCACTCATGAGTAATTCTAAACTCATTCAAGTAATTACAAAAATCCCCTTCATTATATCACCACTAAATTTTCAATTCTCTATATTATGCATTTAAAAATATCATGAAGTACATTATGAAATTAAAAGTAAAACCCCAGATATAAATTTAGAAGATATATACAAAAAAGCACTAAGCCAAGAAAGTTAGAAATAAATCTGAAACTGCAATTTCATTAAATTGTTCACAATCTGTAAGAGAACAGAGTTGAAAATTTTTGTTAAATGAGAAAAACCAAATCTGAAATTATTTTCCTCTGAAATCATCTCATTTAAGTTTCTAAAAATATTCAGTTAAATCTGAAAGCACAAAACTTCCCTTCTTAATTTTAGATAATGGGAGACAATACCACTTCTTTTCTTTTTCAAAATTTAAACTCCATGCCTTGAAATAGATCTGAATTACTATAGATAAAGCAGTATTTTAATTCACCAATGAATTAATTTATGTAATATATTCCCTTTTGCCCTAATTTTTAATCAGAATTCAGAGTGTGAATGAAAAATGTTCCTAGAGCATTACTTTTGTTTCAACCAAGTCACTGATGCTAAAGTATAGTGAACTGACAATTTAAAAAAAAAAATTTAGCTTTTGGGCCCTCTCTGGTGGCACAACGGGTTAAAACACAGCAATGTGAAACTAGCCATAGCTGCAGCTGCTTCAGCATCAGTTTGATCCCTGGCCAGGGAGCTGATCCACATGGCACAGCAGACCTCTCCTGTCTTGCGCGCTGCTCTCCTCAGCAGTATACTTTGTCAGTCTGTCTGTTCTGCTCCCCATTCTGTCTCTGGTGAATCCTCTCTTGGCACCTGCACCTCTGGCCTGTACCCCAGTTCTGTATACATAAATAAATCTTTAAAAAAAAATCTAGGTTTTATTTAGTTTTTAAAGTTTTTTCATAGAAGAACAAGGGTGTAGGCCAAAGGTGGAGAATTCACCAGTGACAGAGTGGAGAGCAGAACAAGTGGATTCACTGAAATATACTGCTAAGGGGAGCAGTGGGTGAGACAGGAGGGGTCTGCTGCACCATTTGTGGGTCAGCTACCTGGCCAGGGATGAATTCAGGCTGTAGTAATGACAGCAGTGAAACTTAACCTCTAGGCTACCAGAAAGCCCCAAGAAATGACAATTTTTAGAAATGTTTTTTCCCCATAATATTAAATTCAGAGTATCTTGAAGAAGTACACAACAGAAATGACAGACCAACTTACCTCTACAATAAAAGCTTTCCTCTCAGATTCACTTTCTATTTGTTTAATAGCAACATCTTTTGCTCTCCATTTAGCTTTGCAAACTACTCCAAAAGCCCCTCTTCCAACTACCTGAATTAAGAAAAACAACAACATAAAAATCAGAAACAAGTATATCCAGACCAACATGTAACAAAGAAGTCAATATGAAAGTTTTATTAAAGATTTTAGAAGTCAGCACTATCTGGATTTGTCATGACCAAATGAGAATTTTCATTAAAATTGGGAGACAGGGAACTACACTTTTCTCTATTTTTGAATATTTATTAGCTATACACCTCTTCTTTTTCAAGTAAAGTCAAAGACAACAAAAAGAGCCTTGGAAACAAAAAAAAAAATTTAAACAAGCAAGATGAGTGAGAAGTCAGAGAAAATGGTTTGGGAAAACAAAAATAAAAAGCAGGAACACTTAGTAAAAGCTGTACACTATCTTGTTTGTGAAATTAAAAACAGCTTCTGAATAGGGGTACATACTGCAGGTTCAATTCCAGACCACCATAATAAAGCCAACAGCTCAAAGAGGGTCAAACAAAATTTTTTGGCTTCCCAGTGCATACAAAATTATGCATACACTATAGTGTAGTCTGTAAAGAGTACAACAGCATTATGTCTGAAAAAACTATGTACCTACCTTTATTTAAAAATACTTTATTGCTAAAAAAATGAAAAGTGAAGTGAGTACATGCTGTTGGACAAATGGCGCTGGTAGACTTGCTTGGTGCAGGGTTGCCACAAACCTTCAATTTATAAAAAACACAGTGTCAGTTAAGTGCAATAATGTGAAGTGCAGTAAAAAATGATGTATATCTGTAATTTACTATGAGTAGGGAGGGGAGGGAAAAGGATAAAAATATAGATGACGGACTGGTCGCTATGAAGGAGAGACAGCACATGGTATTATCTACACAATGGAATATTACTCATTAAGGAGAGAGAGAAACTATTGATACATGTTATAACAAGGATAACCCCCAAAACTATGCTAAGTGAAGACACAGAGACCACATTAGGTATGATTTCACTTATATTAAATATCCAGAAAGAACAAACCTGTACAGATAAAAAAACAGATAAACGGTAATGTGGCACCGAGAGTAGAAAGTGGAACTCACTGTAAATGGGCAGGAGGGAGTCTGACAAAGTGGTGTTTAAAAATTGGCTTTTGGTGATGTACAACTAGATAAATTTTTAAAGACCACTCTTTACTTCAAATGGGTGAATTTTAGGATATATAAGATATATCTCGTAAAAATTCTATTTTAAAGGCTATAAAGTGATTATGTGCTATTATTGAAGCTTCCAATGGCTCTAAACGCTTATACATCCCTGGAGACAGGTACTAACACCATCCTCATCTAGGTTTAAAGACGTAAACTAACTTGTACATGCTGGTTGTGGGGAGTGGTTTGATGCCAGGCAGTATACTACCACAACGTTAGGGGTTCTCTTTTGTATACATATAAAGCCTTTCATGTATCAGACAGTAGCAGTTGTATCTTTCCTTGGTGGAGAAGTGTATATTTTAACAAACTTTGCATAAACAAATCCCAGAGCATGCAACTTTTGTAACTAGTTAGGATTCTCAAGTAATTTTTCATCAACACTCTTTGTAGAATGAAGAGTACTAGTAATTAACTACTAGGACAGCAGTTATGAACTGTAATGAATGACCACTTTAGAAGCAGACACAGCTCAAATTCTATTTCACATATGCAAAGCAGTATGGACATTTTCTAGTAGCTCAAGGTATTAAGCCACATGAATGGCTAGCATTTGTTGAATGACTACCATGTGTCAGGCATTACTGTCTCTGTGTTACATGCATTAACACATTTAATCTTCTTCTATTTTAAAGGTAAACAAACCAAATCATAATGTTGCAACCTGCCCAAGATCACATGGCCTGTATTCAGAGATTTAAGGACTAGAGTATGTAATGACCAACATACTGTATACTCACTTTGCATGTCACTGGCTCAGAGGAAACTGAGCTGCTTTCAAGCAAAAATAGGTGAACATCTCAGTAACTGGTCCTTCTTTTGACTTTTCCTCTTACCCTTCCTAGTTGAGGGTGCCCAGGAGCCTCTTACTGTTTTAAGTTCTTACTGTTCTCTGCAATTCTCATTACAAGAAAAAGGAACCAGTGTCTCATTTGCATTTATCATCCAGCTGCTTCACCATGAGTGGGGTACTGGCTACATCTGGCACCAGTAGAATGGAAAGAGCACCCAACGGACGCTCTTGAACCCAAAGGACTTGACTATAGATCTTGTCTAATTACTTAGCTATTATTGCTAGGCAAATTAGTGCCAGTGAGCAGGCAGATGCTTACATTTTCTTAGTGAATAGATATAAGGGTTCATAAGTCAAAATCAGGCGTTTCTTTAAACACCACAAAAGAATTGTATGTGCTTGTTGTAGGGACTAAGTCTGATAAACACTACTTACTATTACCTTCTCTTACTATAAACCGTGATGAACAGCAAACAGGTCCTAAAACAAATTTCAACTTTATGGAAATATTTGGCTAAGAAGGTATGGATGGAGACCAGCCTACCTAATTGATATTACTATAAAATAGTAATTATAAGATAATTTAGTATATTCTTCAAATGTATCAAAGCAACTGGTAGTAGGTGTTCTCTTGCTTCACTTTCCTGTTGTGAAGAATAACCATGCAGAGATGCCAACCACTACGTATATTTGCGGATCAAGCATGGTCACAAAAACTGTGTTAGGTGTGCATGACTAACTGTGATACACAAGTGCCACCTAGTGATGAGATGATGCTGATTTGGGGCTTTTGACTTAGTCATCAGCGTAAACAGTGGGCAAATGTGGATGCAATAAATGTTCTCCCTTTTGCTTGAGAAAGCAATTTTCGGAAACACTCTGAAATACAAAATTGGCATATTCACGTAAAATGAGAACCTATGATGTGAAGAAGCTTCCACTCACATCAGGATCACAGATATTTTGTATGGATGGTAAAGGCAACAGATCTAAAGTCCAAGATACTCAAGCTTGTACACATAAAGTACAGGATAGAAATAATTGCTATACTTTTAAAGGAATGAGGTTACAAGTACAGATACAAATTTTTTCTTCACAACATGATATTTTTTTCCAATGGCATAAATGCAGATATTAGTAATGAAAAAAAAAAAAAAGAAAAACATGAATTGACTCTTGCCTTTATGGGATGAAAGAGAGGTAGAGAAGAAATTCAAGACAAAATTTTTAAAAAGCTTATTCACTGAAGAAGAATCATAGATGAGAGTCTAGAATGGTAAACTAAAGAATCACCCCCTCCTTTTCCAGAACAGGTATAAAGATTAGAGGGCAGAAAGAACACATACTCCTTACTTCTCACCGGGATCCTTAGGAGGAGGCAGTCTTACAGAATATGCCTTTCCAACATGGGGAGCTATAATCAGTAAAAACAGTGGTCAGGAAGATAGAGAAGGAGGCCCTACTTAGTTTCTTACGTTATTTCAGCGAATAGATATAAGGTTCATAAGTCAAAATCAGGCATTTCTTTAAACACTACAAAAGAACAGTATGTGCTAAAAATGATATAGAAAAACTTGTCAAGAGAAATCCAAGTAAAACTGAAAATTAAACAGTCTTCTGACTGCAAGAAGGAGATTGTTGTAGGACAGAGCATTAACTTCTATTAGAGGCTGTGGGCTGGTACACAGCTCAAATACAAGAAACTAACAGTATAATTCAGCTCAGTTTCAGAAGTTCAATAAACGTCAAAGGGAAAGACCTCATCAGCAGGGAAAAATGGGCGATGTCTCTTGGTTTCAAGGAGTGAAAATGAGGCTCATATCAACAGAATGATGAGGTTTCTTTTGTTTATGTCTTAAGCCAGTACTTCTTGAATGTCTACAATATTCAGGTACTGGTTGGGATACCAGAAATGTAAGCAAGATAAAGGTATTTTCTAAGGGAGCAGGGTGGGGAGGAGAAAAGACAACCAACATACATAAAGGTAATTAAGAAAAATATCAATTAAAAAAATTGTCATGTAGAAAAAGCAGGATATGACAAGAGTGGTGGAAATGTCAGAGTGGACTGTATGGGAAGACCATCTGAAGAGATGAACGTGGCTATCTGAGTGGCTTGGGGAACCAACCAAAGGAACAACAAATGGACAAGCTTCAAGGGGGAAAAAAATCCCCCATTTCCCTAATCAGCAATATCTGAACCCCACCTCTAGGCTAGCTGTTAGGCTAGGCAATGAAGCCAGAGTTAATTCAAGCTCTTACTGATTATATTCTTGTGGAAGGAGACAAAGAGGTGACAAGATATAGAAGAAAAAATGCTATGTGTGCTAAGAGGAGGAACATAATTGTGTATGAATATACATGTGTGTACATGCATTCCTCCTCACTCCAATTTTAAATAGGGCAGTTCTGCAAGGCTTCACTAAGAAAGGTGACATTTCAGTGATGACCTAGAGAAATACTTAGAACACTTGGTGTAGGCAGTACACAGTGACAGAATAAAAGAATGAGGCATGATAAGGCTGGAGAGACAGGGACTGGATCCTGAATGGCTCTTTGCACCATAAGGAGTCAGTTTTAGTCCAAATACAATGAAAAGCAATCGGAAGAATTTAAAGATGAAAGATGTGATATGTTTTATATTAAAACAAATCATTCTAGCTTTTATGTGAAAACAAAAGCTAGGGACAATAGAGGATATAAATAAACATGGTTGGAGGGCTGTTACAGAGACCCAGGTAGGAGAGAATAGCTGTGAGGACAAAGTTGATGGTATTACAGAAAAAGGCAGGTCTGGGATATTTTATGGAAAGAGTCAAAAGAGCTTGCAGGTGGTCTGCGTGCTGGCAAGATGGGTAGGGAGGAAAAAGAGAAGAATCAAGGATAAAGTCTAGACTGGAATGTAGTTTAATGAAGGAAGAGAAAGAATGGAGCAAGCAGAGTTTTTAAAAAAAATACCACAGGATTCTCTTTTAGTTATACTAAGTTCAAAAGGCCTATTCATTATCTGAGTGGAGGTATCAAGAAAGTGGAGAAGTGACCTACATAGAGTCAGGCAGG